GCATGAAGCATTAGACAGTCCTGGGGGCCAGGAGACAGGGGAGCCTGATTCTGGGGCAGTTTCTCCTTGGAGGGAGCTTGGGACTCATCTCCTCTGGCTGGGCCTCCCTCCCCAGCCTCCCTCCCTTCTTCCCCCTGCCTCCCCCCTGCCCCCCAGTGGCTTGAGTGTGTGATGGGCAGTGAGCTACGTGAAGGCAGCTGATGGGATGGATCTAGGCTGAGGAGTTGGCAGGGCCCTTTGAGATCTGGCAGCCAAGGCCCCCGTTTTGCAGAGATGACCCTGAGAGGGCAAGGGACATGGCCCAGCCACTAGCCAGGGAGATCCCCAGGATGTCCTTGCAGACCTGCTTGCATGAAGTGCCACCTCCCTCAAGAAGACACATGGCCCTGGAAGGAGCAAGCCTCCTGGGCTGGAGTCTCCAAAGGCTCCCCAGGGCTGTTTTCCCCCAAGTCTCCCTTTCTCAGGGTTGGGTAGGTAGAGAGGTAGGGAGGTAGGGGGGTAGGTGGGTGAGTAGGTGGGCAGATGGGTGGTTCTCTGGCAGGACAGCCCCTGTCAAGGGAGCTAGGCTCCCAAACCAGCCCTTTGATGCCCCCCCCCTCCATGCCCACAACTGCCAGTGGATATGCTTCCTACTTGCAGTTGTAGCCAAAGACTGGGAGACATTACAGTTCTCACCTAGGATGTACAAGTGATCTTCTCTATTGGCCAAGGAACTGAACCAGCTGCCTAAGACCTGGGTTAACTTAGTGCCCTGGAAGCCCCAGGATTGCCCCTCCTTCTCCACCAAACCTTCTCAGATAGCCTCCCCCTAATGCACCCCCCCCCCATCAGTGACCTCCCCCTCCTCCGATGGCCTCTTGTGGGATGCTGAGCTCTCTATACAGGAGAGCCAGTTTGGTCTGAGATCTCAGAGCAGGGCAAGGATAATGGCCCCTGTCCAGTGCTTTTTAAAGATTTCCAGAAAACTCATGTCCTCACAATCACACTGAGAATTAGGTAGTGAGGCTATTTATTATCCCCCTTTTACAGATGAGGAGAGTGAGGCTCCCAGAGGGGAAAGAAACTGGCTAGCTCTGCATAGGTCAGGTGCTCTCTCCCTCTTTCTGCCTCTCTTTTTGACTTTCTGTCTCTGCTGCTATCTGCCCCTCTCTCTGTCTCTGTCTTTCTGCCTCTCTCTCTTTCTGTTGTTCTGTCTCTCTGCCTTTCTCTCTGTCTCTCTCCCTGTGTTGTGTCTCTGTCTCCCCACCCCACCCCCAGCATTGAATCCTAGTTTAGCAGTGCTCAGAATGGGCACACAGTGAGCGATTCCCTCTCCCTACTTCTGCCTACCCCACTTCCAAGGCCCCTGGGGTGGGGGGAGGTGTGAGGGGTACACTTACTGCCGTGCCTTTCACATGCCATTTGGTCTGAATGAGAGAGGGAAAGAGGGAAGGCTTGCCGGAGAGGACAGTGGCTAGCTAGATCGTTTTCCTACCTTTCCTCCTCTCAGCCTGGGCAGGCTGCAGGCTCGAATCCCTGGCATACCCCACTCTCACGGGGGCCAGAAGCTGGGCTAAATTCATCCAGGTGGAGAGACCCTCTTCAGCTTTCCTTTCCCCCTTTGCCTCCAAAGCGGGGCCTGAGGGAAGGACCCACAGGAGCAGCAGCAGCAGCCACACCATCTGTCTACTCTGCTGCTCCCACAAAGTGGTTTCCCTCCAACCACGCTGCGGAGCAGGGCTGCGGTAGCACCCTCCTTTTACAGGCCAAGGAAGCGAAGCTCAGGCCACCAAGCGAGCAATCTCTCTTAGAGGCTAAAGCCCCCGAGGCAGCACCTGTAGGCTTTCGGAGCCCGAGATTTAGAGAGGCGCGACCGGGGTAGTGGGTAGAAAGAATCTCCAGTAAAGCCCTGCTTTGGACAGAGGAGGAAACTGAGGGCCAGAGGGCGGAAGCGGCTGCCCCTCCCGGTTCACGCAGGCAGTAGTTGGCAGAGCCAGAATTCGAACGCTGGGGTTCCGACGCCGAGTCTGGTCGGGGCGCTTTGCCCTACCCCAAAGCTCCAGGAATATCTGCTCCGCCCACCTCCTAATCACCCCCCCCACACCTCCCATCACCACCACACCTACCGTGGGACTGGGCGTGGAAGGGGGCCTGGGGCTGATTGGCTGATTTTTCGGAGAGGTGGACCGGATTCTGCCAGGGCTCAGCAGAAACAGACAGAGCCTTTTCGTGTGCCCCGCCATCCAGACAGCCGGAACACTTCCCAGCAAACTGGACCAGACCTCTCCCACCCCACAGCACCTGCCCACCAGCAGGATGTCGGAAGGAAGAAGAGAGCTTTGGGTGGCCTAGAGAGGCTGGACTAGCTAGTGGAAGGCGCCTGGAGGGGGGTGGGGGGAAAGACTTCGGATAATGGCGTTCTGGAGCATCTGGACCTGTTCTTGGAAGATGGTGCGCAAAACTTTGGAGAAGAAGCCTGATGGGTGAGGGACACAAAGGGCAGGATCGACACCTCCCGTGCCACCTCTTCCGGGAGCCCGTTTCCGTTGGCTTCCTGGTAGTCCTGACCTTCCCCGGCAGGCCTGACGCAGCCCTTTAGAGAGCCCTCACTTCTGGATCCTCAAGCTAGCTTACGGACCTCAGGAGTCACCTACTTCACCTGGGGATCTCAGCGGTTCCCATCGATTGAATGACAATCTCTATGCTGATGACTCTCCACTCTATCGAACCTGTCCCAACTCTCGGCTGACCTCCAGTCTCTCATCTCCAACTGCCCCTGAGACATCTGAATGGCCCCTGGACATCTTCAACTCAATTATGTCCCAAATGGACCTCATCATCTTTCCCCTTAACCTCCAAATTCCCTGTTATGGGGAGGGCATCACCATACTCAAAGTCCCTCAGGCTTGAAACCTAGGAGTCATCCTGGACTCCTCACTCTCTCTCACCCCCGTCTCTCATCCAAGCTGTCGTCAAGGCTGTCCAACTAACCTTTGCAGCATGCCTCCTCTGACACTGCCATCCCCTGGTGCAGGCCCTCATCACCTCATGCCTTGAACTACCGAAATAGCCTTTGGGTGGCTCTGCCTACCTCGAGTCTCCACTCCAGTCCATCCTCCATCCAGTTACTAAAGCGACTTTCCTGAAGCTCAGGTCCAACCTGGAGACAACCTCTCCGCCCCCGCCCCCGCCCCCGCCCCGTCTCCAGTGGCTTCCTGTTGCCTCCTGGACCAAAGGCAAAATCCCCTTCTGTATTTAAAGCCCTTCACAACCTAACAACCTCCTGCCGTTTCCAGTCTTCTTACACTTCACATCCTCCCCTCCCCCCCCCAAGTACTGACGCTGGCCTCCTAGCAGTGCCTGCCTCCCAGAGGACAGGTGCATCTCTCCGCTGGGGCCATTTTCTATGGTTCCCCTCCCCCTCCCCAAGCCCTACCCTCCACCCCACCCCCGCCTGGATTGCTCTGCCTCTCCATCTCTACCCCAGGTTTCCCTGGCTCCCTTCAAGTCCCAGCTAACATCCCACTTTGTTCAGGAAGCCTTCTCTCTTCATTCCACTGCCTTCTCTCGATTATCTGCAATTTCTCCTGCCTACAGCTGGTTTGGACAGAGTTGTCTGCATGTTGTCTCTCCTATTAGACTGGGAACTCCTCCAAGGCAGGGACTGTCTTCTGCCTTTCTTTGTATATCCCCAGCACTTAGCACCTGCCTGGAAGATAGTACGTGCTTAGCGACAGACCTCTTCCACAACCTGATCATTTCTCAGGTGGGCGAACCGGAGAGGGGAAGGGACGCGGCCCAGGGCACTCGGACAGAGGTACGATTCAAGGCCAGGTCGTCATACACCCAACCAACCCACCCATCACGTGGCCAGTGTTCCAGTGATCACAGTCAGTCCTCTTCTCGCCTGCCTAGACTTCAAGACCCACGAGGACAGGGACTGAGTATTAATCCAAACAGGCGGCTTGGCACACAATCCACAGGCCCGCTGGAAAGGTTTGTGGGGAAAGAATGAATGCATGAATAAGAATGAATATTGAAAGACAATGAACACATCCTTCCGGCTGGAGAGCTTCCTTCTTAAAAAGGGTGTGGGGTGTTGGGGAGGGGAGGGAAGGAGAAGGAAGAGGGGTGCCTATTTTGCAAGGTTTCCAGCGCCTTCTATTTCAATGCAGAAAGCCTCAAATCCCTCCTGGAGGCAGAGCACAGAGTTAAGGGCTGGGTGGGAAGTGAGGTGTAAAAAAGGGTTAGATCAATCACAGTACCCACCTCCGGGAGCCCAGGCTAATTCGGGTACTGGTCCACCAGTACCTAGAGCATTGCAAGTCAGAAAAGTTCTGCCACCCCTCAACAGGAGCCAACTACAATTCTTTTTTTTTTTTTTTCCCCCTGGTCCACCCTCTGCTTGCTCATAGGTCTAGATCGGGAGAAGGGTGTGGGGAGAGATCCAACTAGATGACTCTAAGGTCCCGCCCAACTAGGTAACTTGCTTGACCTGTGAACCTGCCTCCCTACTCTGGGTCGTGGCGGGCTGCTGCTAATGCTGGATTTCCTGCCATTTCTCTCTGCTCCTCCTCTCTGCTTCCCTGTACAAGGGCCCCCACTCCTGATCCATAGTGGATGAAAGGGTCAGGGAATAATTCAGCTCAATTCAACTGACATCTATTAGGCGGTTAGTCAATAGGCATTTATGAAGCTCCTGCTGTGTGCCAGCACTGCGCTAAGCGCTGGGGATGCAAATACGGAAAGGACAGGTCCTGCCCCCCAGAACTTCGATTCGTGCTCGGCGACTGTTGGCCAGGAGAAAGAACTCTCAAGTGAGCGGATCCCTGCCGCCCTCACCGGCACGCGTCCCGGACCGCGCACAGGCACAGCAGGTTCAAATTCCAGAGCTAGAACGGGGAGCGAGAGAGAGTGACACGCCTGAGGACAGCAGCCCCGAGGAAAGGAAAGGGAGGCCTGGGTAGAGATCGTCTCTCTCGGCTGGGGACGCGAGAGAATAGTAGTGGGGACGCCCATACCTCCCTGTTGATCTGGATGGTACATGTGTCCCTCCTACAGCTTGTCCAGCTTGGCATACACAAAGCTTGACACCTCTTGTTTGTCTGGTCCTGCGGATGGGGAACGCGAGCGCTTGGGGGTGAGGGTGTTACTGAGTAACGGATATGGGGGGTGGTGGTGTACGCATAGGAGGTGTGTGAGTGGGTTTGTGCAGGGAGGTTGTGTATGGGGGCGGGGTGCGGTGAGGGATGTTGAGCCGAAGCTGTTGGAGCGTGCCCGGGGGCTGGGTGTCCAGAAGAGACACCACGACCTGGTTCCCGACCCACCAAGACTTGAACGCCAAGTGGTTGCGGTAAAAGGAAGCTGCCTGGTGTAGTTTCCGTTGCAGTGCAGGCAGCCCTGAAACAGTGCAGCCACAGCTGCCGCGGCCCTTCCCGCCCCCCCCCCAGCCATAGCCTGAACGGGCCCGGCACACAAGGGGACCCTGCACCCCCCCGAGGGTTGAGGGACAACCGCCTCGCCTGTAGGGCACTTCGTCCACGCCTCCCCTGCCAGGGAAGAGAGAAAGGGGATCTGCCCTAAGGGGATCCTGGCCCCCAAGGAGTGCGGGCGAAAGAAGGGACCGATTCCCAAGCACCTCGAATTCCCTGAGAAGGCCGGAGAGGTCACGGTTCAGGTCTAAAGGGATTTCGTCCCTTCCCAGATGGAGGGAGGGAGAAACGACGTTCCCCAAGGACTCCCTGGCCCCGCCGAGAAGGATAGGGGGACCAATAACCCTTCCCCAAGAGACCCCTGCCAGCTCGGTGAATCAGGGACTTCGCGGCCAGAAATGGATCCCCTCTCTAGATATCAGTAGTTTGATTAGTATCTCACTGAATAAGTAAATTAATTTAGGTAGAATCGTTAGGTTTGTTACGGATATTTTTTTTATGAGTAGGTTTGACCTACCCATGAGCAATTGATAATTTTCCAATTGTTTATACACGTCTTTATTTCTGTGAAGTGTTTTATAATTGTATTCATATAGGTCCTGGTTTTGTCTTGGCAAGTAGACTCTCAAGTATTTTATATTGTCTACATTTATTTTAAATGGAATTTCTCTTTCTCTGTCTATCTCTTACTGCTGGACTTTGTTGGTAGTACGTAGAAATGCTAATGGTTTATGTAGTTTTATTTTATATCCTGCAATTTTGCTGAAGTTGTTAATTTATTTCAACTTGGTTTTTTTAATTGATTCGCTAGGAATTCTCTATGAATACCATCATATCATCTGCAAGAGTGATGGTTTTGTTTCATCAGTGGTACTCTTATTCCATTTCTTTTTCTTCCCTTATTGCTATACCTGGCATTTCTAGTTCAGAATTGAATAATAGTGGTGATAATAGGCATCTTTGCTTCACCGTTGATGTTATTGGGAAGAATTTTAACTTTTCCGCATTACAGATAAGGCTTGCTGATGGATTTAGATATTACTTAAGTAAAGCTCCATTTATTCCTGTGCATGCTAGTGTTTTTTTTTTTATAGGAATGAGTACTGTATTTAGTCAAAAGCTTTTTCTGCACCAATGAATTAATGGTACGATTTTTGCTGCTTTGTTATCGATATAGTCAATTATCCTGATAGTTTTCATAGCATTGAACCAGCCCTGAATTCCTGGTATAAATCCCCCAAAGGCCACATTTTATGAAGGATCCCATGGTCTCCAGGATTAAAATAAGGACAGTTTAAGCCTGTGAAAGGCCATTAGGAGACACTTTTGGTCCATACTACATGCCAAGAGATATGTTTTCCACTGGATCACATGTATCTTTGTAAATAGTCTAGGCTATCGTGATGCTTGACAGGAGTTCTAGGCACAGTTGTGCCCAACCTAAACACAAAAGCTTTCACTGCAAGCAGGATCTAATGTTCTCTGGGTTGCAGAGAGGACCTGTACTTAGTTATCATGCCCATGTCCAGTTCCTTGGATCTGGGAAGGGACAAGGTGAGTACCTACCAACATGCCTTTAGCTCCCTCATCCTCAATACAAAAAAACTTCTCACTTGATCTTTCCATCCACGCTAACTATTGTCCCATATGTCTCGCCTTTCCTGGCTGAACTCCTCAAAACTTTCGACAACAATAGGTCCCTGGCAGGGGAGGCGTGGACGAAGTGCCCTACAGGCGAGGCGGTTGTCCCTCAACCCTCGGGGGGTGCAGGGTCCCCTTGTGTGCCGGGCCCGTTCAGGCTATGGCTGGGGGGGGGGGCGGGAAGGGCCGCGGCAGCTGTGGCTGCACTGTTTCAGGGCTGCCTGCACTGCAACGGAAACTACACCAGGCAGCTTCCTTTTACCGCAACCACTTGGCGTTCAAGTCTTGGTGGGTCGGGAACCAGGTCGTGGTGTCTCTTCTGGACACCCAGCCCCCGGGCACGCTCCAACAGCTTCGGCTCAACATCCCTCACCGCACCCCGCCCCCATACACAACCTCCCTGCACAAACCCACTCACACACCTCCTATGCGTACACCACCACCCCCATATCCGTTACTCAGTAACACCCTCACCCCCAAGCGCTCGCGTTCCCCATCCGCAGGACCAGACAAACAAGAGGTGTCAAGCTTTGTGTATGCCAAGCTGGACAAGCTGTAGGAGGGACACATGTACCATCCAGATCAACAGGGAGGTATGGGCGTCCCCACTACTATTCTCTCGCGTCCCCAGCCGAGAGAGACGATCTCTACCCAGGCCTCCCTTTCCTTTCCTCGGGGCTGCTGTCCTCAGGCGTGTCACTCTCTCTCGCTCCCCGTTCTAGCTCTGGAATTTGAACCTGCTGTGCCTGTGCGCGGTCCGGGACGCGTGCCGGTGAGGGCGGCAGGGATCCGCTCACTTGAGAGTTCTTTCTCCTGGCCAACAGTCGCCGAGCACGAATCGAAGTTCTGGGGGGCAGGACCTGTCCTTTCCGTATTTGCATCCCCAGCGCTTAGCGCAGTGCTGGCACACAGCAGGAGCTTCATAAATGCCTATTGACTAACCGCCTAATAGATGTCAGTTGAATTGAGCTGAATTATTCCCTGACCCTTTCATCCACTATGGATCAGGAGTGGGGGCCCTTGTACAGGGAAGCAGAGAGGAGGAGCAGAGAGAAATGGCAGGAAATCCAGCATTAGCAGCAGCCCGCCACGACCCAGAGTAGGGAGGCAGGTTCACAGGTCAAGCAAGTTACCTAGTTGGGCGGGACCTTAGAGTCATCTAGTTGGATCTCTCCCCACACCCTTCTCCCGATCTAGACCTATGAGCAAGCAGAGGGTGGACCAGGGGGAAAAAAAAAAAAAAAGAATTGTAGTTGGCTCCTGTTGAGGGGTGGCAGAACTTTTCTGACTTGCAATGCTCTAGGTACTGGTGGACCAGTACCCGAATTAGCCTGGGCTCCCGGAGGTGGGTACTGTGATTGATCTAACCCTTTTTTACACCTCACTTCCCACCCAGCCCTTAACTCTGTGCTCTGCCTCCAGGAGGGATTTGAGGCTTTCTGCATTGAAATAGAAGGCGCTGGAAACCTTGCAAAATAGGCACCCCTCTTCCTTCTCCTTCCCTCCCCTCCCCAACACCCCACACCCTTTTTAAGAAGGAAGCTCTCCAGCCGGAAGGATGTGTTCATTGTCTTTCAATATTCATTCTTATTCATGCATTCATTCTTTCCCACAAACCTTTCCAGCGGGCCTGTGGATTGTGTGCCAAGCCGCCTGTTTGGATTAATACTCAGTCCCTGTCCTCGTGGGTCTTGAAGTCTAGGCAGGCGAGAAGAGGACTGACTGTGATCACTGGAACACTGGCCACGTGATGGGTGGGTTGGTTGGGTGTATGACGACCTGGCCTTGAATCGTACCTCTGTCCGAGTGCCCTGGGCCGCGTCCCTTCCCCTCTCCGGTTCGCCCACCTGAGAAATGATCAGGTTGTGGAAGAGGTCTGTCGCTAAGCACGTACTATCTTCCAGGCAGGTGCTAAGTGCTGGGGATATACAAAGAAAGGCAGAAGACAGTCCCTGCCTTGGAGGAGTTCCCAGTCTAATAGGAGAGACAACATGCAGACAACTCTGTCCAAACCAGCTGTAGGCAGGAGAAATTGCAGATAATCGAGAGAAGGCAGTGGAATGAAGAGAGAAGGCTTCCTGAACAAAGTGGGATGTTAGCTGGGACTTGAAGGGAGCCAGGGAAGCCTGGGGTAGAGATGGAGAGGCAGAGCAATCCAGGCGGGGGTGGGGTGGAGGGTAGGGCTTGGGGAGGGGGGAGGGGAACCATAGAAAATGGCCCCAGCGGAGAGATGCACCTGTCCTCTGGGAGGCAGGCACTGCTAGGAGGCCAGCGTCAGTACTTGGGGGGGGGAGGGGAGGATGTGAAGTGTAAGAAGACTGGAAACGGCAGGAGGTTGTTAGGTTGTGAAGGGCTTTAAATACAGAAGGGGATTTTGCCTTTGGTCCAGGAGGCAACAGGAAGCCACTGGAGACGGGGCGGGGGCGGGGGGGCGGGGGCGGAGAGTTGGACCTGAGCTTCAGGAAAGTCGCTTTAGTAACTGGATGGAGGATGGACTGGAGTGGAGACTCGAGGTAGGCAGAGCCACCCAAAGGCTATTTCGGTAGTTCAAGGCATGAGGTGATGAGGGCCTGCACCAGGGGATGGCAGTGTCAGAGGAGGCATGCTGCAAAGGTTAGTTGGACAGCCTTGACGACAGCTTGGATGAGAGACGGGGGTGAGAGAGAGTGAGGAGTCCAGGATGACTCCTAGGTTTCAAGCCTGAGGGACTTTGAGTATGGTGATGCCCTCCCCATAACAGGGAATTTGGAGGTTAAGGGGAAAGATGATGAGGTCCATTTGGGACATAATTGAGTTGAAGATGTCCAGGGGCCATTCAGATGTCTCAGGGGCAGTTGGAGATGAGAGACTGGAGGTCAGCCGAGAGTTGGGACAGGTTCGATAGAGTGGAGAGTCATCAGCATAGAGATTGTCATTCAATCGATGGGAACCGCTGAGATCCCCAGGTGAAGTAGGTGACTCCTGAGGTCCGTAAGCTAGCTTGAGGATCCAGAAGTGAGGGCTCTCTAAAGGG